GTAGCACGCAGGTACTGCATCTTTGTTTTCACCTTACTCTTCACATACAACCTCAGAGTTAGCCCCTTCCCTGATAAACTGAGATGAGCTTAAGTGCAGCACCTAGCCTAGCACCTGCCTGATGAAAGATCATGACCAGGGATGGACAGATAAAGGCTGCTGATCCCACCAGTGTGTTTCCAACTATAGAACAAATCTTTTCACTGTAGGGCTAAGTTTATGTCTAGCTATTACACAATATTTGAGAAGTACAATGAGCAACTTGCCCACTGCCTCCAAGGTCACCAGTGAAAGGGAAAGCTTTCAGTAGAGGTTTACCTTCCCTGCCCCCGCCCCCAAAGAGGAACCATTTAACCAGCTGGGGCAACCAAATTAAAGTGTCACAAATAAAGAGGTCTTCACAAATCCATGTTACTACAAATAAAATTTGTGTTCACTTTTAAGCAACTCCAATAGCAGAGCCTTCTCCAGTACCATGATAGGAAGTTACTAGTTCACTATTGCTTTGTAGGACAGAGAAAGTTGACTAACTGGAACCACACTGCCACATTTTACCCCAGGTTATCTTAGAGGTCCTATTCACTTTGCCAAGTCCGATTCTATTTCACAGACTCTCACACATTAAAAGAATAGAGAAAGAAAAACACAGATAACGTGGTACTGTGATCTTTATTCCATTAAATGACCTTACAACTAGGAGTGAAACAGAAACATGCTTTTAATACAATAATAGCATAATCTCATCCCATTGCACTTTTTAAAAACTGTATCAAATTTTAAAGCCATTGAAAGGCAAGAGTCTAGCAGAAAGTACTTCTAACAAATCTTTTTAAGAACAACAAAAGAAATTTGAGGAAAATTTGTATATGTACAAGATTAATGTTAACTCCTTTTAAGGCTTATGTCCATGACAGCATTTATTCATCTAAATTAGCAAACTGGGAATCAATGCAATCTTCCCTTGATCATAAAAATACATTTAAAGTTTTTTCTGGCACATAAAATTCCTTCCCAAGGAAAATTTCTTCCAAAACCTCTCTGCCCGTAGATTTAGAGAAGTCCCTGATACTGGATACTCAAGTCGCTATCAAAATTATAATCCTGTTCTTCCTTATTTTTATTTGTGGTTTAAAGTTTTCTGTATGCTAAAGACTTAGGGGTTCAAGTCATAACGCTGAATTTGGCTTCTAAAAGAAAAAGTCAGGCACAGTGGCTGGTGCATGTAACCCCAGCACCAGGGAAGGCTGAAGTGGGAGAATCGTTTAAGGCCAGGAGTTCTAAGACCAGCCTGAACAAACGTAGTGAGACACCTGTCTCTACAAAAAAAAAAATTTTTTTTAATTTAATGAGCTGGGTGTGATAGTGCATGCCTATAGTCCCAGCTACTTAGGAGGCTGAGGTGGGGGGATGGGTTGGGCCCAGGAGTTTGAGGTTACAGTGAGCTACATGCCAATGCCACTGCACTCCAGCCTGGGTAACAGAGGAAGACTCTGTCTCTTAAAAAAAAAAAAAAGAAATAAAAACAGCTATCCAAATTGCTTTTTAAAATCTTAATTATGTCTGTTAATACATAGGATGCCTGTACATTCATTTTTCAAAGAAGGCACTATAACAATAAAATAAAATAGCTTTAAGGAGTTTAGACAATCTTCTGGATTAAAGGCAACCTTACTGCTCTGAAAACTGTAAACTTCCGGTGATTATATCTGGAAGGAGACCACCTATTCTGAACCTCAGGTAAAAGGTATCCACTTGCCTCCAGACTATAGCAAACTATACTTTCTTATTGGTACTTCTCATCTCATGGAGCAGTCTAACCACCTAAGATACTGTTTATGAAGTGATGATTCCAGGGCCACAGCCCAGACCAACTGAGGCAATCACTGGGCATAAAGCTGGAAATCTGAAATTCTTTAAACAAGCATCCCAGGTAATGAATCTGAATTTTTTTGAACAGGGCTCCTAGGTAAGTCTTATGCACTCCAAGGTAGATGAGAGCCACCACTCCAAACAGAGCTATAGTATGACTTATCATAACAAAGGAAAACTATTCAAGTACAAATGGTCTTTTCATCAGGCTTCTTAATGTCATTTTAGAAAATTAATCACACATAGTTTGTACTTTCATAACTGAAGTTTGTCTTCATCATGCCCATATACCTTGACTAACATTTTGTTAGATCCAAACCTTAGCCACAGCTCTATAAAGACTTCCACATAAGTTACATTGTTCAGAAAGAAAAAAACCTAGGAAAAAATTTTAAAAACCTATTTGTTTTACTACTTTTGCCTACTTAATTTTGCTATAACTCATACATACATACTCATCCAAACTCACCCCATCCAAGGCACCATTTTTATAAGCTAAGTAGAACACATGATCCACCAAAGAAACAGGTGGTGGTATTTCTGTTCGTGTAGGTTTGCCCATAGCATTTTACTTCATGTTAGAGAAAAGAGTAAATAAAGCAGAAATAATATTCACAGGCAATTTTACCAAGTATAAAGTAGGTGTGAAAACGTAAACCTCCATGGAACAGATTACTCAATATACTGAAAAAATAAGATATGACTCTAAAGATGATGATGCATGACAGTTTGTCCTCATTTTATCTACAAACTAATCGTATAGAAAGATTTCGCAGTGAAAGAATTAAAACTTTTGATTCTATTATTTTTACTATAAGAAGCTAATTCGAAGTTATTTAAATTTATTAATAGCAACATTTGACTTCTGAAATGAATTATTTTGAAAATCTCTTTTCTATACATTAATGGAATTATGCTCCATATGTTGTTAGGAATGTGCAGATTTAAAATGCCAGGAGCAGCAGAGCAACAGACACTGCATAATTAACTACCACCTGAGCTCCTGACCCGCTCATCAGAAGCTGAGAGAAGACAACAGGTTAAGTCATTCTTTTCAATCTGGTTATAAGTCTCCCCAGGACTATTTATAGCCAGCAATGAGAATGCATCTTTTATTGAAAAAGCTGATATAAAATCATCAACTTATACAGTTAAAAAAAGAGATCAAAGAAAACTCACAAGAACCCTCACCAAGAAAACTTTAAAATCCTTTTCCAGAGACAGAACAAGTTAACTAATAAAGACCAAAAAAAGGGTTTCCTCTGGGTAATTAAACCAACGTTATTCCCTTATAAGAATAAAACAGAAATGGTGAATTTAAATAGTAACCTAAGATTTCATTAAATCATACGTTATCACTTTTTTTAAAAAAAGACCTAATACTTTAGTATTAAAATGAGTTTTAGACACATCATCCCTTCTCACCATTAAAAGTTTTCAAAAGTTCTCACTTTTGAAAATTACTCTGAAACTTATAAATTTACTTATAGAATATATTAAAAACTAAGTATCTCAAAATCTATAGGACCTGCTACTTAAAATCAAAGTATGAATCTTCAGAGAGAGATGAGAGACTACCTGAAAATGTACCAAAATTTCAGAAGCTTTCAATTTAACAGTCAAAGCTTGACATCACTGTAAGTACAAGTAAACAGTTTTTAGAACAAGGCGGAATTTTTCTAAAATATAACAGCAAGTGAGTAAAACAGCAACAACTTCAAGGCAAGATGGTATATAAATATGAAAAATATATAAAATGCTAGGAATTTAGGACTTATAAAAATACTTGAGCGGTAAAGTATTAGTCAAAAAATTCTTTGATAAAGAAATTACATGCTAGAAGAGACTTTCTTTTTTCTACTCCATTCATACTTCATATATATAATATTTATATTTTGCCTAAGCTCTCCTACCTCCCTCCCACAACAAAAATTAAATTATCTCAAAAATTAAGGCTCACACACCTGAATGTTTATATAAATACTTGCAGGCAAGTTTTAAGATGTTTTAAAATCCACAACAATTCACCATTATAAATCAAAGGGAAAAGCAACTAACAGATTAAACTTTTAATCACCTAATCAAGGTAAATAAAAAAAGAATTCTTAGATACGTCTATATATTGTTTATATTTGAATAGGACTTTGGTTCTTACTATGCCAAAGCTATTTTAAAGCTACCAGACTAATCAAAAGTAAAGTTAAATAAAAGAAGATTCACTAAATAAAACTGATAATTTTAGTTTCATTATTAGACATTGGACAGTACATAGGAGTATGCAAATTAAAATTTGGATAAAGACCTTAAATCAGGTTATTTATTAATTATTGCTAAGCCACATGAAATAAGACATTAATTAAAGGTAGTAATATTTGGTAATATCTTTCCTCTAATTCTTAATAAAGTTCTGTTCTTATGCAGAACTCTCAAAAACAAAACCTCTCAAATGACAACTGTGTATAAGACTTGAGTATAACATACATACATATATAAATCTACAGTGAACCTGACCAAGGCACAAGTTCAAGAGACTTATCAGAGGTCACATGATTAATTTAAACTCAGCTTTTTTTCTTATAGCATCTAGCTCAGTCCTTTTATTATTCAAGGAATATATGCCTCTTTCTCTAGAAAGAAGCTGTGAGAAAAAAATAAAGCATGTTACAACAAAACTGTCAGCCTATTGGGTAAAAAAAAAACCTTACGTTTCAGAATATGGTATACTTAAATATAATTTTCCCACATTATGTGGCAAACAGGATTCTATAACATTATAAATAAGATTTGTAAAGTGTGATGGCATCATTTTCATTTATTCTTTAGTTTTAAAGTTTTTCTAAGTTTTGTAAACTTTAAAAAAAAGGAATCCTTCTCAAAAGTGTAAAGAACTGAGAAGTTTCACCCCAAAATGGCATCTTTCATGAAGTTGCCCTCCATTCCCTCCCCACTGTGTCTGCAAAACCATGGATTCAATCTTAAAAGGCACTAAGTGGCACATAGAGAACTTAAAAGCTGCATTTCTATTTTTTTCCTTTAACTTTCTCCCCCATAAAGTGCACAAAGCAGAGAGTAATAAGAAAATAAACATAGGCTTGGATTTGTAACAGCAAGGAAAAGAAATACTTCCAACAGAAATGGAAGTGTATTTAAGAATCTGAAACCACAGGAGAGGTCAGTTCGTTTATTATGGTGCCACGTTTCAGCTCTTCCTGGAATCTGCCACTCCTCTGGACATGGACTTGTGGCCGTGGTGAAAACCCAGAAATAGGTAGGGGCTGGTCGGGTTCTTGTTGGATCCTCATATTAAGATCTATTGAGCTTTTTTATCCACAGGTTGTCTCTCAGCAGCTGAATCCCTCACAGCAGCCTGGGTGGAATTGCCAATATGAGAAGACGCCTGCAAAAGTCCATTTATTCAACATGTAAGTTAATAAAATACAACACAACAACAAGAAAGTAAGTCCTTGGAGATAAACTTTCAAAAAAATGTCTCCATTGTCAGTATGTCACACAAAGTAGGGGAATAAAAATGCCAGGGTGAGCAGGGGCTATGGCAGCAGCTAAGCCCCAAGACAGCCAGTGAAGCATCTGCTCTGTAGTCAGGGTATCTCCCCTGGCTTCACAAGCTGCTTGACCTAACTGATCTGTTCATATTACTCAGAAAAAGAAATAAGTCATCTCTAAGATCTATAAAACTGCAGATCATGTCAATGTCAAAAAGCCACTAGCTTATCGGAAGATTTTAAACAAAAGAGGTGCCATCTATTTTCTAACCCAATAGGACTCAAAACAGAACATTGTATTAAGTTCATATTTTTTGCAAAACTCTTAATTTTCAGTGAAGCAAATTAATCCAAGGGGCTGGGGAGAGGGAGAATCACACAGAAATTCTATCTGAAGAGCATTTAATTAGAAGTTGCCTAGGAAAAACAAAATGTGTCTAAATTGGAACTTTTTTTGCATTAAAGGGCTGTTTTTAGGCATAAAAACAAAATATTAATACTAAGAATAAACATTAATACCCTAAAAAAGGATAGTAAATCATATAAACCCTATCAATAAAAAATGGCCAAGGGAAGTTTCTCATATGTTCTTCCACTATGAAATTCTTCTAAACTGAGATATCTTCCAACAAAAGCACAAATATCTGCCCATTATTGAATCTCAGCCTCCTCAGTGACACCACTTACCTGCTCCAATACATATGCTGCACCAGAATCAATAGCACCACCCAGCTCTCGATATTGACCAGAATATCTGATGTAGCCCCAGGTGAGGAGCGCTATTAACAGCAGTCCAACCATACAGTTGAACAGCTGAGCCACGACCTCCAGACCAACAAAGCCAGTGAGGCCTGAGGCTATATACAAAGCCACAATGCCTGCAAACAGCACAGCGGGGGTTCGGAAGGTGCTGAAGACGTTCTTGCTACCATTGTGCTTGCAGAAGTTCTCATACAGTTCCTTGATTTCCTCCTCCAGCTCCTGCTGGTAACGAAAACTGAAATCTTTCCCTCCCATCTTCTTGGTCTTCTTAAAATGGTCCAGAGCAAGTTGTTTGAATTCACAGTGCTTCTCCTCTAGAATGTCTGGAGACAAATAAGGTTTCTCTCCCCCGCAAACCTAAAAAGAACAAAGACACGATATGTTTACGATCCTTTCAAAAGCAAGTGCCAAATGAAAAGACAACAAAAAGGTTAGAATGTTTTAAGATATTAGAGCTTTTTTTTTTGAGACAGAGTCTCACTCTACAGTAACAGTGAGACCCTATCTCTACAAAAAATAAAACAATTAGCCGGGCCTGGTGATGTGTGCCTCTGGACCCAGCTACTCGGGAGCCTGAGGCAGGAGGATTACTTGAATTCAGGTGTTTGAGGTTACAGTGACCTATGATTGCTCTACTGCACTCCAGCCTGGGCAACAGAGAGGCCCTCTTTAGAAAAAAAAAAAAAAAAACCCAGAAAGCTTTAGTTAGAAATGGTGGCAATTAGAAGGCCCTATTCAGGTGTGCTGGCTCACATCTGTCTGTACTCCCAGCATTCTGAGAGGACAAGGCAGGAGAATCGCTCGAGGCCAGGAGTTTGAGACCAGCCTGGGCAACAGAGTGAGACTCTGTCTTTACAAAAAAAAAGAAAAAGAAAAAGAAATGATAATAATTAGAAGGCCCCAATTATCAGGACGATCTGAATACAGGTTTGTTGCCTTATCATCTTAAGATACATTAAGATCAAGTTTGGGCTTTTGAAAACAGCAACAATGGGCAAGTTATAGATATTTCAGAATAAAGCATACCCCCCACATACCTCCTCCATGTTGTTATAATAAATGTCCTTGGCAGAAGCTGCAGCTGCTAAATTGTTGGCTTCAGCAGTGGCCTTTTAAGAAAGGAAAGTGTGAACTATTAATCCTTCCTCTTAACATTCTTTCCACAAATAACCAAATAAAAATCTTCTCTCACCATATTCCCCATTCTTCCTTTTTTATTAACTTTCTGCTAATTTTTAGGTTTTCATACAGTTCAACTGATGAAATAAAATACACTTTCTCTGCCAAATTTCTACCACAAAATCTGTTTTATACTTAAGAATCTTTAGCATAAATTAAACCTCAAAAAAATCAAGGAAAATTTCATTTCCTTTGTTTCAATTTTAAATGTAATAAATAGATATGAGTCAAAAAAGGAAAAAAAATCTTTACAATGTCAATTACAGATTCTAGCTCCCTTTGTGAAAATGTTTTGCTACTAAAGAAATCAGCATTTGGCAACAAATGCCCTTATTCAGCACATGAAAGTCAGAAATGATAAGTTTTAACCAAATGACAATTTCTAGTTGAAAATAAAAAACCCAATTAGTGAACAGCAAATAGATAGTTCAGGATGTGTTCTACTAAAGTAAACAACAGATGACAAGAAATTACTTCCCTAACATATAGTGGATATGTTTTACCTGGGTATAATAAAACAGTGTTTTCCAAACTGTTTGGTGTGTGTGGTGGGATGTTTGGTGGGATGATCAGACCCAGTGAAGAGAGGCCATTCTGTTTTAATGGTACCACCATGAATACAAACAAGAAAACCAGAAGGCAGCCACACTGCTGCAAGACATGCCAAAAATTACCAGACCTTCATAATGAAAAAGGAAAGCAATCGCATTCTCTTCTTAAAGGACTCTACCTATTGTATATGAGCCAACTCAAGTGACTGAAGGACTGCATTTAGGATGTCAAAGAATCGCTTACCTGAAGCATGGACTTGGGGTGAGGCAGATCTTCTCCTTGGTAAATTTTAATATATGCCTTAAATATAAACATAAAAACTGATTATGAAAAATGTCATTCTGTCATATATACAAGGGTTGTCCAGAAAGTAGCCAGCCATTGTTAATATAACAAGAATGGTTACATGGCTGGATACTTTCCAGACAGCCCTTATATTATCCATACTTTAATTTTTAGAAACAATGACCATACAACTGCATTTTCCTAAAGACCTAGATCAAAAACCAGGAATTAGCAAAAACACAACACACCTGTGAGTGCATGTTAGCATTTTTAGTTAACAAAAAATCTTCTCAAGCAGCACAAGCCTAGGAAGGCTAGGATACCATCTGACACCCCATGCACACTGGCCTCACCACTACCTGGGCAGAGTGATCATCCGCCTTGAGGTAGTCGTGTCACATCTAGGTGTGGTCTCCTACACACAGCAACTTCCTAACCACCTCCTGTCCACACCATCTTCCTTGAGGAACGATCTTCCTTTAGCCACAGTAATTACTCCTCTAAGAGAGTGCAAAGAACATCCATTTGGTTCTTAGACTGATACTGCCACCCAGTGGCCCACTCCTGAAAGGACACTTGAGGTCTCTGAAAATGCCTCTACCATCTCTCCCAGGAAACTTTCCCCTAAGTTTCAAAATATTGACATTTAAGTTGGTTTACAACATAGATCAGTTTTATCAAAAATAAAATATTTTAATAAAAAACATATTTACCTTAAAATACTCCAATAGTCCCCGACAGGTGACTTTTGAGCCATTGATCTCCTTTTCCATTAACTTAGAGGGGTTTAATATGTATGGTATCAAATCCTGTAACTGCTCTTTGAATTCACCAGCAATATCTGTTCACGGGATGATGAAAAAGGAAACAATAAGCCACACAGCCTTATTCAACCAAGGTGAGCATAAAACACAATGATCACAGTCTATCTCATTATTTCAACATTTGCTAGTTGGATGTGGACGGCAGAGGCTCCAGACCATGTTTTGACACTTTCTGGCTATGACCAGGTTGCCCTAATGTAGTACCTTCATCTGCAATACAAAGTCCTCTCTAGTTCAGAATGGAATATTGTGTGCAGAATATTCTACCCTCGTTTTCATTCTGGAATATTCAGTCTACTCCCTAGCCTTTCAAAAAATTTAGCTTTTTAAAGAATTCCGTTAACAAGGTCTTCAACAAATTAATTATAAACTGCTCAAGTTGTCTCAGGCCTTTGTCATACCCTCACGCTACCCATTAAAATCAGTTAGAAATCACTATTTGATTTTTGTTAATTTTTTAATGTTAAAAGAAGTAGAAGAACCTATACCCTGTTATATTTTGTATTATCTCCTCAGAGGCCCTCTGGGCCACATTAAGACCAAAAAGCCACTAACTCAGGAAAAGTGAGTTTCTCTGCAGCTTCTACAAGGCTCTCACAGAGGGTTCAGGACAGCCATTAAGTAGAGCTCTTTTCTCAAAGTAAGAATTAACTGGCCAACTATGAAGACAAAGCAAAATTAAAATACAAAGAATCTGATTTATGTAATTTAACATCTTCCTGGGTTCCCAAGTATCAGCTGAAAAGAAAGTGGCTAGAAACCATACCCAGGAAAGAACTCTTTAACACTCCATAAAACTAATTATAATATGAAAAATGAAACTGTAAAACTCCAAGGGAAAAAGTGGGACAAATTCTTTATAACCATATAGTGAAAAAGTATAAAATAGTGTACATAACATGCTGTTCTGTATAAATTCATATTTGCTTGCATATACGGGATAAACTCTGGAAGCCTACAGAAATGGAAAAAAGACTTTTCACTGAATACCTTTTAATCTTTTTTGGGATTTTAAAATCTGAATGTATTTTCTATTTTAAAAAATCCTTTTTTTATGAATTCAACTTTCATTCCACTGAAAGACTATTTCAAATTCACAAAAAGATCAATTCAGATACTAGAGAATGCTATTTTACTGAGTTTTACAGATCCTAGGGTATTCATGTTTCTATAGGAAAGCTATCCCAAAATAATGGTTTTTAAATCAGAATAGACAAAAAACCATCTCATAACAGAAACAGCCTCAATTTCTCATGGTGTCAAAGAAGACTGCGCCCTACAAACCCTTCTGTTATTTTCTAACTAGACAACATAGTAGTTACTGTATTAGGTATCTCCGCTACATATAGTAAATAGGAAGAAGAGTTTTCTTTACACTGATGGCACAGTCATCCTTTGTCTGATGAAAAGACACTCAAAAGGCAACTAATCTAGCTAATTACTGCAAGAAGCATTAGCTTAGCATCAATTATGCCAAAACTAGGATCGTGTTCAGCAGATACTTACCTCTCAATAAAGTAGTCAATCTTGGAAAATAAAATAAAACCACTAAAACAATTCCTAAAGTATTTGGAGGAACATTTGCAGAAATAGCTTCAGAATGTAGTTCTTATTAAATTTAAATGTAACACAGAATGACATTAAGTTCCTTTTATGAGTTAGCTATAAATATTCTCAAGCCCTAAACATTCTAATGTTGTCTTTTCCAAGTTATATGGAGCAGGACAGCAGAATCTCAGCCAAGCAACTGTACAAATACAATTGAGAAAATATAACATCTAAGTGTTTGTTTTTGTTTGTTTAAACTCAGAAACACATCAGCTCTGACAGGTCTGCTGCAATAAATTTTGTGTGGTTCTCAAGCTACCACTTGCCAAATGCTCACATGTCACCTACTATTTTGCAATTTAGCATACAATTTAATCTTCACTAAAAACATTTCAGTATCTTGGTTATCCCTAAAATTACAAAATAGGCCAGGCACGGTGGCTCACACCTTAATCCTAGCACTCTGGGAGGCCAAGGCAGGCAGATCGTTTGAGCTCAGGAGTTCGAGACCAACCTGAGCAAGAGTAAGACCCCATCTCTACTAAAAATAGAAAAAAATTAGACAGGCATGGTGGCACATGCCTATAGTCCCAGCTACTCGGGAGGCTGAGGCAGAAGGATCCTTTGAGCCCAGGACTTTGAGGTTGCTGTGAGCTAGGCTGACACCACAGCACTCTGGCCGGGGCAACAAAGTGAGACTCTGTTCCACAAAATAAAATTAAAAAAATAGGCCGGGCGCAGTGGCTCAAGCCTGTAATCCTAGCACTCTGGGAGCCGAGGCGGTGGATTGCTCGAGGTCAGGAGTTCGAAACAGCCTGAGCAAGAGCAAGACCCCGTCTCTACTAAAATAGAAAGAAATTAATTGGCCCAACTATATATATATATAAAATATTAGCCGGACATGGTGGCGCATGCCTGTAGTCCCAGCTACTCGGGAGGCTGAGGTAGCAGGATTGCTTGAGCCCAGGAGTTTGAGGTTGCTGTGAGCTAGGCTGACGCCATGGCACTCACTCTAGCCTGGGCAACAAGCGAGACTATGTCTCAAAAATAATAATAATAATAATAATAAAATAAAATAACAAAATATCCATCTCCAAATCTAAAAACTACATGAACTTTTTGCAGAGCTGGTTAAGAATTCTTCATGAATAATCTTCATAATATTAATAACTGCAGTTCCTTAAACACCAGGCAGACTATATTTAACATATTTTTAAAGCGAGGCAAAAAAGAACATTTTTATTTTTCAAACATTTTCATTTTAAAAACTACTTATAAATTTACACACACACACATATATATATATTTTCCACCCTCTGTCAGCCAGGCTAGAGTACAGTGGCTTTATCACAGCTCACTGCAACCTCAAACACCTGGGATCAAGTGATCCTCCTGCCTCAGCCTCCCGAGAAGGTGAGACTACAGGTGCATGCCACCACACCCAGCTAATTTTTTTACACTTTTTTAAAGACACGGTCTTGCTCTTGCTCAGGCTGCTCTCAAACTCCTGGCCTCAAGGGATCTTCCCAGCTTTGCCTCCCAAAGTACTAGGATTACAAGCATGAGCCACTGTGCCCAGCCTATATTTTTTAAATACATAGGATCATGCCACATATGCTACTCTGTAATTTTTCTACATTTAATAATATATCGAGGCCAGGCGCAGTGGCTCACGCCTGGAATCCTAGCACTCTGGGAGGCTGAGGCAGGTGGATTGCTCGAGGTCAGGAGTTCGAAACCAGCCTGAGCAAGAGCGAGACCCTGTCTTTAATATAACTAGAAAGAAATTAATTGGCCAACTAATAAATATAGAAAAAATTAGCCAGGCATGATGGCACATGCCTGTAGTCCCAGCTACTCAGGAGGCTGAGGCAGAAGGACCGCTTGAACCCAGGAGTTTGAGGTTACTGTGAGCTAGGCTGATGCCATGGCACTCACTCTAGCCTAGGCAACAAAATGAGACTCTGTCTCAAAAAAACATAATAATAATGTATCACAGACATCTTTCTATGTAAATACATATAGATTCATCTATCTGCCTTATCCTTTTTAACGACTGCATTTTATTTCTTTGTGCAGATGTACCATAATTTAACCAATGACTCATAAACATACATTTGGGATGTTTCCAATTCCTCTCTATTATAGTAACACTATAGTAGCAAAATATGCCCACACATATATTTTTATCCACTTATTTGTACAGTTTCTTAGGATAAACTCCTAAAAGTGGAATACTGGATCAAAGAATATAAACATTTTGAATTCTGGTACTGTCACATTACTATCCATAAAAGTTATAATTTATATGAATGTTTTTGTGCTTTTTTGATTATTGTGATGCTGCATATATTTTCTTTTTTCTTTTCTTTTTTTTTTTGAGACAGAGTCTCACTCTGTTACCTAGGCTAGAGTGAGTGCTGTGGCGTCAGCCTAGCTCACAGCAACCTCAAACTCCTGGGCTCAAGCAATCCTTCTGCCTCAGCCTCCCGAGTAGCTGGGACTATAGGCATGTGCCACCATGCTTGGATAATATTTTCTATATATTTTTAGTTGGCCAATAAATTTCTTTCTATTTTTAGTAGAGACAGAGTCTCGCTCTTGCTCAGGCTGGTTTTGAACTGCTGACCTTCAGTGATCCTCTCACCTCGGCCTCCCAGAGTGCTAGAATTATAGGCGTGAGCCACCACGCCCAGCCTATATTTTCTTTAATATATACTGACCATTTGTATTTCTTCTTTTTGGACTTGCTTTTTCATGTAAGAAAGGAAGACTGAAACCCTAAAAATGTACTTTATAGTTCTATCCTGAATGAGGAAACGAAATAGTACATAATTATGAGATTAAAGATTGTTTCTGTATTTGCTCAAAGGACTTGCAATCAAAAAAGAAAATCGATTGTTTATACAGAATCTGTTCCATATTTTATAAATATAATAAATATGAAACTTAACACACTTAATATTTAGTGATTAAACTATTTTTAATCTGTATATACATATAGTGGGGTTGAAACCATGTCACCCCCTCCCCAAAAATTCATGTCCACCTGGAACCTCAGAATGTGATTTTATTTGGAAATAGTCTTTGCAAATGTAATTACTAATAGCTGAGGTCATACTGGATTGAGGTGGGCTCTAAATTCAAAGACTGGTGTGCTTACAGGAAGAAGAGAAAACACACAGAAAAGGCAGCCATGTGATGACGAAGACAGAGATTAGAGGCAACTACAGGGACAAGTCAAAGAAAGCCAGGGTTACCAGCAACTACTAACAGCTACGAGAGCGCCTGGGGCAGATGCGCCCTTGGAGCCTTCAGACAGAACCAACCATGATGTTTGGACTTCTCAAACCTGAACTCTGAGGAAATAAATCTCTCGTCTTAAGCCACTCAAGTTTGTGGTAATTTGTTAAAGGCAGCCACAGGAAATTAATATAATATGCATTTGCAAAAGTGACACAAAACTTCAAAAGTCAGGATTATAGAACTTACAAAAAAAACCTCTATTTCTTGACTAACATGGTAAAAACAAAACTAAATTTTCAAATAAAATGCATTGAAATATTAAAATGATTTAAAATATGGAAGAATACCATTTTTGAAAGTTTATACGTGATAATCTGAGACTACCTTGAATCAAAAAGAGCACCCTTTCCTAAACATCTTCCATTTAAGAATTAAATTGGACATTTTCCCTATTGGTGATAAATCTGAGTTGAAGTTTGATAAAAGTATGACTAATAATGAAGCATTATAACCCTAAAAGTTCTCTCCCTGCTCAACTCTGAAAACTCCCTAGCAACTGCCTTTTTTTTTTTTTAAACATATAGGGTCTGTCACTCTGTCACTCAGCCTGGAGTGCAGTAGTGCCATCATAGCTTACTGTGCCTCAAACTCCTGTACTCAAGCAAGTACTCCTGTACTCCTCCTTCAGCCTTTGGACTACAGGTGTATGCCACCTCACTCAGCTAATTTCTTTTTTATTTTATTCTTTTTTAGAGACAGAATCTTGCTGTGTTGCCCAAGCTGGTCTCAAACCACCCTGGCCTCCCGAAGTACTGGGATTATAGGTATGAACCACCACGCCCAGCCCAAACTGCTTTTTAGGTAAAATGTTCCAGTTCCAGTGCTTGCCTAAGCAGATTTCTCTTCCAAAGCCAAGCCCACTGCTTGGATTTTAAAATTCCCATATAACAGGCTCAGGAAGCCTCCTTTTCAGGAAAGCTGCCAAACACTTAAAAATATCAGACAAGTGACAAACAGAGATAAAGGTGAAGTCTCTCACATTCAAGTTTCTTTTGTAATATTAAAACTACCTGGAATGTAAACCTTGAATTGAACAAGTATATTCATTTTCTTGGATCAACTAAATCGAAAATGATGCATTTATACTTAACACGAGGCTATGAAAACCTTCAACTTTGGCCAGGCACAGTGGCTCACACCTGTATTCCAAGCACTCTGGGAGGCCAAGGGGGGAGGATCGCTTGAGCTCAGGGGTTGGAGACCATGACCATCCTGAGCAAGAGCAAGACCCTGTCTCTACTAAAATAGAAAAAATTAGCCAGGTGTGGTGGGGTGTGCCTACAGTCTCAGCTACTAAGAGGCTGAGGTAGGAGGATCACTACTTGAGCCCAGGAGTTGGAAGTTGCTGTGAGCTAGACTAACATCACAGCACTCTAGCCTGGGCAACAGAGTGAGATTCTGCCTCAAAAAAAAAAAAAAAGAAAAAGAAAACCTTTACTTCAAAAGGTATGTTCCCCTGGCAACTAAGCAGTACATATCCTCTAAATGGCTTCCCCCACATAAGAGAAGAACTACTACTTTAGCGCAGTATGGCTCTGGGGCAATAACAATCTAAATGTACATCTATGCCCCACCATTTACTCACTTACTAGCTGAGTACTTTGAGCAACTTACTTAACAGTCCTCCTTTCCCTTACCTATTTTTGCCAGTTTCCTCACCTGTAAGATCAACTTGATGGAATTACTGGTAACACAAGTATGAAAGCAGCTAGCATAGTGCTACAAACTCAGCTAGGCCTCTAAAAACGGCAGCTATTATTATTACCACTTTACCAGGAATCTCAGAAGCTCGGATAAGCTTATAAACAGAAGTGCTCAGTTTAACACATATGTAAACTTAAGACCAGCCATTAAATGACTCAAGGCTTCGATGAATAAGGAAGAAAAATAAGATAATGGAGCCCAAGAGTCCCTACTCTGATTCCTCTCACCTGCCCTCTAGTCAGCACTTCCTGACATTAGCACATGACCCAGCATCAGGTTTTGCTATAATTACCAATATGATGAAAATAATAGCTCTGCCATGCATCATGCTACCTCTTCTTGGGAAATTAATTTCACTTGATAAATGTGAGCTGACTTATATTTAGTCTCCTAGATTTAGCATTTGTATCTCTTATAAACCAAAAACCATAACAAGTCTCTTAGACTAGATTATTAATGGATATTACCACCACCATCTCAGATGCAGAAGCCAAGGTAAACTAATTCTGATGGTCACAGTAAGTCAGGAGCAAAATCTGAACTAGATTATAAATACTGAGAAACCATACTATTTCTCTTAAGCATTCAATTCATAATTGATTGATTGTTCTTTAACTACAAAGATCAAATCACATCTTTAAAATAACATCTGTAACACACCTTTCAATTTCCCATCAAAGTCAGGGCTTGTGGCCACCTGGAGTCCTGGATGTGGTAAGAGAAAGCAGGTGACATCAGAGAAACATGAGTGAATGTGATTTCGAACATTCTGAATTTCTTCATGTTGATGTTCCTTCACCTGCCAATAAAAACCAACAATTTAGCAACCAAAAACCATTTGGTTTTCTTCACTGGAAACAACTAGCTTGAGGACAAAGGAAAGAAGCCTCCCTAACTCTGATGGATTATACTGGCCAAATAAGAAAACTCAAAACCCTAAGAAGCAAAAAATGCGTAATTTTGATTACCCATGGCTCGACTCCTATAGCTAACAACAGGTAATAGAGAATTTCTTTTAAAAAAAGAGTATTGTACAATACTTAGGAAGAACATGGGAAGGTTTGCGGGCATGAAGGATCTATCTCATTAGTAGTAACTGGCAAAGGACTCCTGTGTTCTGGTTTTAGAGAACAGGGTGGGCCTATGTCTAACCCAAAAACAAGTAAGAATTATAAATAAGAACAACAGAACTAAAATTCTGAATCTGACTTCTAAAAGCACACATAGAACCTGGTTTTAAAATGTGAAATGAAAATTATAATCAAACCTTGGGCTTTTGCCCAGAGTTCTTTTCTACAGTCCTTGTGCATTGCTTTTTGGCCTTGTGGCTAAGATCAAGTGTACAGACCGTGTGCATTATATATCCAGGTTCTTTAATCCTACCAAGAATAAATAATATTGGTTTGTGTTAAAATTCATATATATATATTTAACACACTCAATATATTTTCAATAATCTGCTCTGAATACAAAAGCCAAAGAGGCAAATGAGAAAGCTATCACTACTTTTAGATAATTCCTTGGAAAATTATATTCCACTTACCTGTAAACGCTTATCCAAAAATGCCATTCCTCCTTGTAGTCCATAGCTGTATTCATAAGGGAAACTCCAGTCTCGAATCAAAAACATCAGTGTCTAGTTAGGGAAAAAGCAGAACATACTGTAACAATGTTTAAACACATTCTCAAGACAACAGTTGCCATTCTTCTTTACATAATGCCAGCTTCCGCAAAGGGAGCAAGGAAATGTACTAAAGGATTTATCTACTCTGTACTGTCTTGATAAATACTAGAAAGACATGTTTAAGCCAAATGTGAGGCCAACATATCTCATTTGCTATTTTTGTTCCCACAGGTTAGTATGAACAGAAGGAAGAGATTGATGAGAAAAATGTTAAATTCAGGGCTCCTCCCTAAAGGCAAGTATGGAAAATTTAGTAAAGGACAAAGAGAAACCACATGGCACCAGCTAATCATATCAGATGTGCTTTTACTATTAGAGAGGGAAAGAAACCCGCTCACACACTGACAGCACCTCTCAGCTCATTGAGGTTGCTGTGCTTTCTTGTCTTCAAGAACAATTAGCTAAAGCAGAAGTCAGTGGACGTTTTCTGTAAAGGGCCAGAGAGTACATATTTTAAGCAACTACTCAACTCTGCTGTTGCAGCAGGAAAGCAGCCACGGACAATATATAAATAAATGAGCTTGTCTGTGTTCCACTAAAACTTTAGCTATGGACGCTGACATCTGAATTTCAGATAATTTGTTATGAAATATTCCTCTTTTCATGTTTTTTCAGCCATTAAAAATGTGAAATCCATTCTTAGCTCATAGGTCATTATAAAAGCAGGTGGCAGACCAGATTTGGCCTGCGAGCTATAGTTTGCTAATGTATGAACTAAAAAGAAGACATGAATTATATCCATAGTTAATATTCTACCTGGAAGGGTTTTTGGAAAATTTCATCCATCGCCAGACGACCATATTCCGTGAAGAGCTTTAAAAAAAGAAGAGTTATAGTTTGTAAAGCAAAATGTCTTAAAATAGTTCTATGGCTATTCTTTAGTGAAGTATTCATTTAACAGACTGGATACCACTTATATTGAGACCAAAATTCTACAGTTTCAAAAGCCCACAGGAGTCATGAACCTTAAAATAATCTTGGTTATTTCTCTGTTACATCCCACACCTCAATTCATGAACAAATCCAGAGTCCGGCCACTCAATATTTCTGTGTGGCTTAGAACACTGCAACAGCCTCCTTCCTGGTCTCCCTGCCTCTGCCCTTGCTTCCCCTACAGACTGTTCTCCAGATAGCAGCCACAGTGGCTGTGCTATAAATAACGCCTCTGCTTAAAACCCTACAACCTCATTTCATATAAAAGCCAGTCCTTACAGCATGATCCAGCCATACTTGGATCCTCAGACATGCTGTTCCTCAGACATGCAGGGCACGCTGCTGCCTCAGAGCCTTTGCACTGGCTCCTCCCTGTCGCTGTTATGCCCTTCCCCAAATATCCTCATGATCAGCTCCCTCACTTCTTAAGATCTTTACTCAAATGGCCGTTTCTCAATGAAGTCTTCCACGGCAATCTACCTAAAAAGATTACAACTTTCCACATGGTATTTCCTACCCATGTTCCTTTCTTATTTTTCTCTTTAACACTTATCACTATCTAATATACTGTACCTCTACTTGTCTTGATTAATGTGTATCTTCACCACTAGCATTTAAACTCCATGAGGAAAGGAACATTTGTCTGTTTTATGTATTATGTTACCTCCAGCAACAAGAAAAGTACTGGGCCCATAGTATTTGCACCAAATGACTGAATGAATGAATTCTTTAAGGTTAGGATTTATGTATACATTTACCTCTATCGCTTCGTGAAACCTCAGTAAAAGTATAGCAAAACAAAGTTAAACAGAAATTAATTTACTTAGCTAGGCACGGTAGCACATCCCTATAGTCCTAGCTACTCGAGAGGTTAAAGCAGCAGGATCACTTGAGCCCAGGAGTTCAATGCCAGCCTGGGCAATATAACAAGTCCCCATCTCAATTTTTAAAAATAAAATAAAATAAATAAATTCACAAGACAAACAGGATGGGGAAAAACAATCCAGGGAAAAGAGTTGTTAAAAACCCTGGATAGAAACAGACAAATGAGAACCTTCTAAGAAATCTGGGAGAAGCAGTGGCCAAATATGCAGATTCTCTCAGCAGAATTCCAGAAAGGCTCAGAAATATAAGCATGGAGTTACGTTCCAGGAGGGGGTGTGGTAGGTAGCGGGGCTAACAACTAAAGAAATGTGTACACGTCTTTGGAGAAAGCACCCCCCCCATACTCTTCTATCCCCACAGAAGATGGGAAGTATACCATCTGGAGAGGATAAACCCCCAAAACAAAATCCTCACTTAGGTACCAAACTCAGCTAAGGTTGAGGGTAAGTCCCCTACCTTGGCAGAAACAGATACTTACATCAAAGCTACATAGTGAGCAGTGGGGGACTCCTTAGCCATCACACTCTGCTGGGTCCCACAGCAAGTTTCTACCCACCCAAGCAGGAGTTTAAAGAAATCTCTGGGGAAACTAAAGGCACAAGAATAAAGGTCTGCAAATACAGACATTTAGCAAATGGCAACAAAATAGCTAGATAATTTTGCCCAATCACCACACTTAATATATGGCAGTGGTCCCCAACCCCTGGGTCATAGCATGGTACCTGTCCATGGCCTGCTAGGAATTGGGCCTTCCCATCCCACCACCACCCCCAACCCTGCCCCATAGAAAAATCATCTTCCATGAAACTTAGGAACTGGGCACACAGCAGGAGGTGAGCTGCAGCAAGGGATTGAAGCTTCATCGGTATTTATAGCCACTCTCCACTGCTCACATCACCGCTCCCCACTGCTTGCATTGCTGCCTGAGCTCCATACCCCCTCCCCCAACTCCCCAGAAAAACTGTCTTCCATGAAACCAGTCCCTGGTGCCAAAAACATTGGGGACCACTGATATAAGGCCCAGTACATAAGGCCCAGCCTCTTATCAAAGCTCCCAGTCAGATACTTAGTGCCTCGCTCTTCAATACAGTCAAGGACCACTAGACATTCTGTTAGGTCGTTAGCAAGAAATTCTGGGTCTCCTAGGGATGAAAGTGAGCACTTTGCCTTGGTGCAATTGCCTCACCTGGAAAAAGGCCAAGGGTGGGCCCCAGGCCCACATCTTGGTCCTGCGCCACTTTGATCCTGCCCTGAGCTACTGCCATACCTTGCCATATCCTATCCATTCATAGGTTACCCGACAAATCAGCCAATTATAACTTAGTGTGCCAGCTCCAAAAGAATGCAGAGGACTCTCTAGCTCATGGGCCAAGCTGCATAGGTACCATAGAGTCCAGAAATTGAACTAGAACAACCCACATGCATAGTTAAGACTCAGGTCATGCAACTTCCAATTGTCTAATCAAAGTGGTTCCATGGTAACATCTGAGCCACAGGGAGGTCCCAATCTGTGCAATATAAAACAAGACTGAGACCATAACCAACCCCCTTTTTGCACTCTTCCTTTTGCTCTCCCTTGGCTGCGACAATGAGTCTGGTTGTCATCTCTGGTGTATGTATCATGCTCTGTAATCCTGTACCTTCCTCTTGCCCTATAATCCTATCTTTCTCTCCTCAATTAACCTCATTTTTGTGCTTGCCTTACTTTGGTGTGTCTGGTCATTCTTCGGCCATGAGCACACTGAGAAGCAACATTTCAGACTAAAACCTGACAGTCTAAGAAAAGGCTCTAGCTGGAAACAAAAACTCATGTCCTTCAATTCTAGAACATCAAATTCTATTATTTATATTTTAATACAAATATTATAATTTTCTCTCTTCTTTTACCAAAATACCTGTTACTAACATTTTAAGCCTCTCCTGAACTGATCTTTTTTCCTTTTCTTGTGTGCCCTACACCTACTTCTTATCTTCTCCTTTGAAACCCTTTCTCCCCCATCCTCTCTGTCCCCTCTCTTCTTTTTTATCCTCTCTTGCCTTCACTCACTCCCTGTCTCCCTTCCAGTTTCTACTTTGTATCTTTATTCAACCTGCTGGGGGAATTTACTCCAATTTAAATTCTAACTCCTCTCCTACTGAATTTTCCATTTTTGCTGTTATAGTTTTAATTTCTAGGAGCTCCCCCCCCTTTTTCTTTTTTTTTTTAATGCCAGTCAAATTTAGTAGTGGGGGCTGTATACAAACTTTAGTGGCACTAAATTATTAAGTTCTGATAACCCACTACCACTGGACCAGCCCTATTTTGTTTTCTGAATGCTGCTTTTTAACAGCATCTGTTACTATTTCTTAGTTGAAACAGCAACATCTTATCTTTCTGAAGATAAAAGCTTACAAAGAATGAAGAAAAAGCCCACACTAAGGCATATTACAATGAAAACTCATGCCAAGAATAAGATCTTAGAAGCTCAGCTAAAAACAAAAAGGTCACATACAAAGGATCAGGAATCAGATAGTGTGGGACTTCAGCAGCAACACTGGAAGCTGAAAGGCAATGAAGCAATGTCTTCACAATTCTAAAAGAAAACTATTTCCATTCTATAATTCTAAGATAAAATAAAAATATACTCAGACTTTCAAGACCTCCCTCAAAAAAATTACCTCCGATGCATGCTTTCTCAGGAGGAAGCTACTGGAGAATGAGTAGAATTAAGGAGTAAATAAACAAATGATTAAATGATCCGACTGAGATGGAAATTGAAAAGATATTACCAGGATGGTGGCAAAGACAGGCCACTGGGTGACCAGGTCCAGAGTGGGCAGTCCAGACAGGAGAACACGGCACCCAGGAACAAGGCCTCCGCAAGGAAAAATAATACTCCAAGTATTAAGACCATACTACAAAGTTTTAGGAGTCTATGAGTTTGTGGATGCATTAGTGATCAGCACATAGAAAACTAAACAGGCCAAGTGCACTGGCTCATGCCTGTGATCCTAACACTTTGGAAGGCCAGGGTAGGAGGACTGCTTGGGGCCAGGAGTTCAAGACCAGCCTGTGCAACAGTGAGACCCTGTCTCTGCTAAAATAAAAAAAAATTAGCCAAGCAACTAAAAATGGAAACAAAAAATTAGCTGGATGTGGTGGTGAGCACCTTGTAGTCCCAGCTACTCAGGAGGTTGAGGCAGGAGGATCACTTGACCCCAGGAGTTTAAGACCAGCCTGGGCAATATAGCAAGACCCCATCTCTTAAAAAAAAAACAAACAAACAGGGAAATAAGTAAATAAATCCTAATTTTATAAGTTATTAATTTTAAAAATCAAAAGGGTATAGTATCAGCATGTTCTTAAAAATCTAGAAGCACAGAGCAGAAAAGACAGCTAAAAAAACTGTAAGTGGTTAACTCTGGAGAAAGGGACTAAGTGTTGAAAGGATGCTACTTTTTTTTACTACAAACCTTGCAATATTACTGACTTTTAAACCATGCACATATATTCCTTTGTTAAAAAATAAAACGTTGCTTTAAGAAAAGTATTCAATACATATAAAATACCATATATAAATTAAATAAAACCATACATACAAAACTATACAAAACTCAAAACTGCTTATCTGTAGTACTGAAATCCAAAAAGCTCTAACATCCCTGAATTAGGCAGAAAACTCTTTTGGAGGCAAAACCTAGCTTAAACTGACATGAGGCTTTTTATAGGGTTTATTTACCCCATTTCATACAATTAGTCACACATTTTGTCGTGAAATATTAACATGTTTAATTAGGAGATACTGCCTAAACACCCACTCCTGTCTTAAGACTTCATGTTATATGCACCATATTATCTATTTAAAATTTTTAAAATTCTCAATTCCAAGGCACATCTAGCCTCAAAGGGGTTTAGATAAGGGATTGTGGTCATGTGTTATATGTTCTCTATAGGGATATATATGTGTTTACAAATACACAGAAAAGGAATAAAAATGATATATTCAAAACTAATAATAGTGGTTACCTCTGTGGATGGGGGCAAGGAGGACTTCAGCTTTAGCCAGGGTGTTCTAATTTTTTTTACAAAGACAGTATCACTTCTAAGCACTGGGCACCCTGACTCACATCTGTAATCCTAGCACTCTGGGAAGCCAAGGCAGGAAGATAGCTTGAGCTCAGAGTTTGAGACCCGTCTGAGCAAGAACAAGACCCTATCTCTACTAAAAATAGAAAAATTAGCCGGGCACAGTGGCATGAACCTGTAGTCCCAACTATTCGAGAGGCTGAGGCAGGAGGATCACTTGAGCCTAGGAGTTTGAGGTTGCAGTGAGCCATAATGATGCCACTGCACTCTAGCTGGGATGACAATGTGAGACTCTGTCTCAAAAAAAAAAAGACAATCTCACCTCTAATTTCATAAAAAGCATATGGAGTAAAAATAATAATTCCATCCGGTAAACTTTCCAAACCCCTAAGCTGGGCCCTATAATACCTCAGATCTCTCTTCCTTAGCACTTAATAAATAAATGTTTTATTGTTTTTTGTTTTGTTTTTGGAAACAATTCTGTCAGGTTCCCAAAATAATGCCTTTATAATTTTGTTTAGTGGGGAAGAACTGACAACTTTGTAATAATCAGTCCCAAAGGAGATAATATTTATAATACACAGCACAGTGTCTAGTACAGCGTAAGTAGTTAATATTTGTTAGCTATTATCATCCCCTATATAAGAAACAAGATACATTTCTGTATGTGGTTAAATCTTTTATATGCCTCATACAATTCTGAAGTGCTTCACAGAAATCTTGTTAGGTCTTTCTGTTTTTAACATTTTATTGCTATAGTGAACATTTTCTATTACATTTTTAAACTGGTTATTGTTAGTAGAAAAGAAAGCTTACTGATTTTTTATTTCTATTTTGTGATGGGTATGCTATTTATTTTTTTAAACTCTAAATCATTTTCTACTTGATTCCTGTGGATTCCAGGCATATAAGCATATTATCTTCTCCTTTTTAACATTTATATTTATGCAGTTACTAAGTCTACCATCAGCCTTGTCAAGCGAGGTAAGTCCTCTGGCCATTAAGTCCAGGGGCTAAAAGTAAGTAAATCCAACATGCCTAGCATCCCTATTTTCACCAGTCAATGCCCAGAAGGTATCCACCACATTCCCTCACCTCAGCTTCAAAGGCTGTGGCAAAGGCACTATCATCTCCATCATGCGCTGAATCTCCCTTCCCTCACTCCCCGCCACACACCCCTACTTTTTATCATCTGCAACTTCAGGACCACAGTGGATACATTCCCCTAAACTTACAGTTACTTCTACCTTCTTGATTTAACTAAAACCTGAGGACACAATTTTCCCCATAGACATCTCAAATAGTGACTACTATTCTCACACTCCACATGTTTCAGGATCAAAAGGTGGGGTTGGTGACTTCTTTGCTTCCCCTTTTTGTTTTTTGGAGATAGAGTCACACACTCTGTTGCCTGTGATACAGTACAGTGGCCTCATCATAGCTCACTGCAACATCAAACTCCTAGGCTCAAGTGATCCTCCCACATCAGCCTCCCACAGTGCTGGGATTTCAGGTATGAGCCACCACACCTGGTCTTCCTGATCTTTTTTGAATTATTAAACTATTCCTATTATTACTATTCTTTGATCTCACAAACATTCCATTCCAAAGACCCCTCTATTTCCCTTCTAAACACAGATCTTCCAGAATTCCCTCTCAGTCAAGAAATTAAAAAAAAAAAGTAGCCAGGCATAGTGGCACATGCCTGTAGTCCCAGCTACTTGGGAGGCTGAGGCAGAAGGATCACTTGAGCCTAGGAGTATGAGGTTGCTGTGAGCTAGGCTGATGCCACGGCACTCACTCTAGCCTGGGGAACAAAGCAAGGCTCTATCTCAAAAAAAAAAAGAAAAGAAATTTAAAAAGTTATCCATAACATCTGATTCTACCTCACCCCCTAAATCCTTCTGTCACCAAGTCTGTTGCATAAACCACAAACAGTATCTTAACTAGACTATTTACTACAGAGAAAAATCAACAATGCATTTTAACTACAAATAATCTCCAAACTTTAATATGTATTACCTTTATAATTGTTCCCAAACACTTAAAACTACAACCCCATTATAATGGGACTCAAAAATACAAAGTAGTAGAGTTCAAAGCATTAGTTTAGGAAAGTCTAAAAGAAAATGTAACTTTTTTAAATTGAAGTCAAATATAGGAAATAATATGGTCTAAAGTGAAGAAAGATACTAGAAAAAAACAAAGAGCTTATTTCAAAAGTAACAAGAATTAAGCAAGTTGAATTCTGTAGGAACTATGAACATTTCTTTTACTAAAGAAGAGTGCTTCTGCTAGAATGAAATGAAAAATCATCATTGATAATGCAAAGAAAACAAGAGTCATGTTAACGGACTGCTTGGAAGAATAAACCAAGGCTCTGCTTTAACGCAATACCCTGAAAAACAGATGTCTGAGAAAGTGAGTAGCAGGATCCCAAAATCATTTATAAAGATGATTCAGCAGTGTGTAGTCTAATTCTTAGGCAGGAGAAACTGGAAAATCAGCTAGAAAGCTGTTATAAGGTCATATAAAAAGTAACAAAATCATCACAGAAGATAGAGGACTATACAAGACAAACAAGACAAAAAGAACTGGGAAAGGCTGATGTTGAAATGATCATGGAAAAGACATGCTTAAATATATCCTGGGTTTGAGGAACCAGAGGATGGTAGAATTCTTGAGAATACTATCAAAAAGGAATTATATAACTGCATTATACCTCTTATGGGTTGAATTGTGCCCCACAAAATATATGTTGAAGTTGTAATACCTGATACCAGTGAATGTGACCTTATGTATATCTACGGCATTTGGTCTTCTACCTTGCACAACTTAGGTATTCAAGAAATGTGTGGGCCGGCGTGGTGGCTCACACCTGTAATCCTAGCACTCTGGGAGGCCGAGGTGGGTGGATCGTTTGAGGTCAGGAGTTCGAAACCAGCCTGAGCTAGAGTGAGACCCTGTTTCTACTATAAATAGAAAGAAATCAATTGGACAACTAATATATACAGAAAAAATTAGCTGGGCATGGTGGTGCATGCCTGTAGTCTCAGCTACTTGGGACAGCTGAGGCAGCAGGATTGCTTGAGCCCAAAAGTTTGAGGTTGCTGTGAGCTAGGCTGACTCCATGGCACTCTAGCCCAAGGCAACAGAGTGAGACTCTGTCTCAAAAAAAAGAGAAAGAAATGTGTGAAAGGACAGAGTTTAGAAAGGAATAAATTTCAGGTGAAATGGTGACAAAGTCAATTTTTGATGAAAAAGTTTTACAGAGTAACAACTCTCAACCACTGAGTCATGCCACTGGTATAGAGCCACCAATAAAGAAGTATAAGCAATTGCTATTAGTAACATTAAGGGCCAAAGTTTAGAAATGATTTGTTTTTTATTTTAATTTTTGTCCTTTTCACTGTTGTTCTCAATTCTTTGGTTTTTTGTTTTTTTTCTTTTTGAGACAGAGTCTCACTTTGTTGTCCAGGCTAGAGTGAGTGCCGTGGCGTCAGCCTAGCTCACAGCAACCTCAAACTCCTGGGCTCAAGCAATCCTTCTGCCTCAACCTCCCGAGTAGCTGGGACTACAGGCATACACCACCATGCCCAGCTAATTTTTTCTATATATATTAGTTGGCCAATTAATTTCTTTCTATTTATAGTAGAGACGGGGTCTTGCTCTTGCTCAGGTTGGTTTCGAACTCCTAAACTCAAATGATCCACCCGCCTCGGCCTCCCAGAGAGCTAGGATTACAGGCGTCAGCCACCGCTCCCGGCCAATTCTTTGTTTTTCTAAAGGAATATAAAATAGAACTAATTCAAAGTAATCTCTGTAATAATGACCTACTAACTCACTCACATTCTGGTATGTTTTCCTGAATGTCAGTGGGAGAAGCGGAATTAGAGAACCATGTCAAGAATTGCATCCAACCCTGGAATATCAACTGAAGAGTGTTTTATGGGAAAAATAGATAAGAACTGCTGCTATAGAAAATGGTAATAACAATAATGGCTAGCAGTTATTAAGCACATACTATTTTCCAGGCACATAGTTCTATGCATTTAACAAATATTAATTTATTTAACCTCATCTGGATTATTTTAATAGCTCCATGACCAGTTCCCCACTGAATGCATTCTTGCCCTCTAAAAATCTATTCTAAACATGGCTGCCAGAGTGATCCTTTTACAATGTCAGATAACGTCACTCCTGTGCTGAAAACCCACTGGGAGCTCCCACTCCACCAGAGGAAAAGCCCTGGCATGACCAGCACCTCACTGCCTCTCTGACTTCATCACTTAGTCCCCTCCTGTCACACCCTCCAATCCCAGCACGGGCCTCCTTGCCATTCCTTGCTCCTGCCAAGCACATTCCACCTCAGGGTCTTTCTTCTTGCTGCTACGTCTCCTATAACATTTCCCCCCAAGATGTGTCTGAAGGACTCACTCGCCCACTCACTCTCTTCCATTCTCTGCCCAAATCAGCAAGGCCTTCCTGACCACCCTGATCCACTCCAGCAACAGATATACAATATGAACCAAAAACCTTCCTGCATATTTCAATCTTTTGCTAAAAACTACTCAGTTCTAAAATTTTTCTTAATCTTAAAACTTTTAAATAATATATTATGATATTAAAACTTTTATGAGAAATATATACCTGCAGCTGTTGAAGATCATCTTCTTGAATGTTCTGGGATAAATTATAAATCTAGAAAACAAAAATCCAGATTGATACTATTCTGGCTTACTTCAGACAAATCCCAAATAAGCCTAAAGCACTGACAGAAGCTCTGTACCATTAAAAGTTCACAGATAAGAATATGAAGCCTGTTCAAACAGTAATATTATGTGTCTTTTGGAAAACTACATATATAAGGTTGAAATCACAAAATTCTTCCTCTACAGTTTAAAATATTGTTTTCCAAAGTTCTTACCAAATACATTTTCTATATAATGTAACTGATGTAATTTCAATTTCCATTTTTTAGACTTTTCTTGGAGCATTTTATATATAATTATGACCAAAGAAGAAAAATAGTTTAGCTCCTTCTTGAGCTTGTAAGAGCTTAACTTCTAAATATAGTCTAAAAAGAACACTTACATATCAATAAAGGGATTCTGTTAACAGAACAATAACTTAAACTAGATGTCCTCCCTTTATCTTATTTCCTCTGCAAACATTTTTCTAAGTCAAGTAGTTTTTACCTGAACAGAACTAGTCATGGTGCTTAGAGCAAAGATGGTAGCGCAGTCTTTCACAGTTGACTGGCTGTCAAATGCTCCCTGGGTATCCATCAGAACAACTGCAACCTTAAAAAAAAGCAAAATACAAACAAAATAAGTTAAAGTGAGAAGGGGGAAAATGTAAAGGAGAATCAAAAAGTATGAGTAACACTTACATGAGCCTTAAGCACCTGCCTGTAGGTTCCATCAGAAACATACAATTATTTAGGTGCCTTATCTGAGGTTGCTGTGAACTAGGCTGATGCCACGGCACTCTAGCCAGGGAAACAGAGTGAGACTCTGTCTCAAAAAATAAAATAAAATAAACCATGCATTTATGATACCTGAATAAAAAATTTTTTCAATTGGATTAACACAGCACATTTGAAGTTCTCGGTTTTTTGTTGTTGTTAATTTCTAAGTCTTTTCATTATTACCTTCTTTCCACCTGGCTTCTCCACAGTGAAAACTTCATTCCAGATCTGAATCCCCGTGGTTTCTGGGTCAGAGCCCCCTCGCCATGAAAATCCTGTTAATGGTTCTTCTGGATCACCCAACCAATTTGGATGGCCACCTTCCTTCTACAGGAGAAATAAGAAATTTCTATTAATTCTTAATAAATTTTACACATCAAAGATAATCCATGAGTTTATTTTGCTTTTTTTGTACATAAAAGTCTCATTTTCTAATTTTTTTTTTAGACAGAGTCTTACTCTGTCACCCAGGCTGGAGTGCAGTGGCATGATCATAGTTCACTGTAACTTCAAACTCTTAGGCTAAGTGATCTACCCATCTCAGCCTCCTGAGTCACTGGGACTATAGGCACATACCACCATACCCAGTTAATTTTTTTTTAAGAGATGGGGTCTTGCTATGTTGCCCAGGCTGGTCTTGAACTCCTGGTCTCAAGCAATCCTTCCATCTCCGCCTCCCAAAGGACTGGGATTATAAGCATAAGCCACTGCACCCAGCCTCATTTTCTAATTTGAAATTAAATAACTCTACCTTACCTGAGAATATAAGTATCGTAGCATAAAATCCAGAATGAAGGACTTGCCCTTTCTGAAGGCACCAGCCACCGATACCACCACCACATCAAGATCTCGGATGTGGTCCTGCAAGAGGATGCTGGCCAAGGCTTTCTCTTCTAGCTCAAAGGAATGTTGGTCTTTGTGAACCAAAACAACCTGCACTGGACCAGGCTTGCTGCTCTCCATGGCATCACCTGTGTTCATGTAGAGAAAATAATTAGTTTCAAATATTTTTCTAATGTATGTTTTTGAACACGAGAACAAAAATTTCTTAAACAGGACACAAAATACCAATCATAAAAGAAAATAAAATGATAAAATTCAACTTCATTAAAATTAAGAATTTTTATTTGGCAAAAGATGCCAATAAGAGAGTAAAAACACCAGGCACAGGCTAGAAGAAAATAGTCACAAAACCTATTTCCAAAGGACTCACACCCAGAATCAACACAGAAATCTGTAAGGAAAAAATGAACATTCTAATGTGTTTTTTTGTAGAAGAGGTCTTGGTATATTGCGCAGGTGAGTCTCAAACTCCTGGTCTCAAATGACTCTCCCACCTTGGCTTCCCAGAGTGCTAGGATTACAAGCATGAGCCAGTACACTCAGCCTCCAATTTTTAAAATAATAATAATGGGTAAAAGACTGCACCTCACACACAAAAAAACCCAAATAGTCAATAATCACATGAAAAGATGCTTCCATATCATTATTTATCAGAGGAATATAAATTAAAACCATAATAAGATACCACTACCTGCCCATTAGAATGGCTAAATTTTACAAGACTAACAATATCAACTGTGGGAGAGGATGTGGATCAACTGGAATTCTCATACATTCTGATGGGAGCACATAATAGTATATAGCCACTTTGGGAAACTGGTAATATCTACTAAAATTCAAAATATTTATGATCAGCAAGTCCCACTCCTACGTATGTACCTAAGAGAAATGAATGCACATGTCCACCAAAAGACACATATGCAAGAATGTACACATTAGCTTTATTCAAAATAGTCCAAAAGCGGAAATAACACAAATGTCTATCAATAGTAGAAAGTGTGTCTCCACTGCTAAGCCTTCTACATATTTTATTTCAGAATCTTCAGAACAGTCCTATGACGTAAATAATACTGCCCCATTTTAAAAATAAGGAAATGAAGGCTAACAAAGGTTCGGCATGTTGCCCCACAGGTCCTGGAGACAAGCTCAAAAAGATTATTAGGTGGCTGTGTTTCACAGACTGCTCACAGTTTTAAGAGCAATTTGTTCTATAGTTCAAGTTACCCATTAACTAGTACTTTCCCTAACTGAGTTCAAAGCACAGATTTTAATTCTTTGAAATTCAGAGCCACTTGGTAGCTGTGGATTTAAGGAAAGTTTACAAAAAACTACCAGTGGGGCTTAGGGAACGAGGCAAAGCACAATTTCCCTAGGTATGAGTTTGTGCCACTGGCATTAAAGAAGATGATTGTAGGTAGTTAAAGGACATTTTTTATTTTAAAAATTATGCATTTTAATGCATACTTTAAAACACCAAGCCTATGTTTTAATGGATTATTGCTTAGAAGGAGGCTAAGTTTAAGAAGTAAATTAAAGTAGATTTATGTACATATATTAAGCATAGCACTGATAGGCAGATATGGCCAAAATCACAAATACGATCCCCAAATAACATCTAAGAAGCACTGAAGGATGCGTGATCATAGCAGGCAAAGCAGATAAAACAGTTCGACTACCAGATTCTACCATCTCAGCTACAGGAACTAATGCTTACTTTTTATATTTATAGTATCAGATAGTGACAAAAGGGTTCTTCTCATTTTTTTAACTTTTTGTAGACTAATGGAAAACAAGTTTATAAATACAGGTTAAATGTCATGCTATCATTGTAATAAATGTATACTAATACTTTTCTTTCCCACTGTTGCCTAGATAAAAAGAAAACATTTCTGGTCAGGCCTAGACTCACGCTTGTAGTCCTAGCACTTTGGGAGGCTAAGCCAGAAGGATCGCTTGAGGCCAGGAGTTGGGTTTTTTTGTTTTTCTTTTTGTTTTTTGAGACAAGGTCTCATGCTGTTACCCCTGTTAGAGTGCAGTGGCATCATCATTGCTCACTGCAACCTCAAACTCCTAGGCTCAAGTGATCCTCCTGATTCAGCCTCCTGTGTAGCTGGGAGTACAAGTATACGCCACCACACCCTGCTAATTTTTCTATTTTTTATAGAGACATAGCCACCAAGCCTAGCAAGGCCAGGAGTTTGACATCAACCTGACCAACACAGCGAGAACCTGTCTCTACCAAAAATTTAAAAATTAGCTAGGCATGGTGGCACGCACCTGTCCCAGCAACCCAGGAGGCTGAGGCAGGAAGATCACTTGAGCCTAGAAGTTTGAGGCTGCAGTGAGCTATGATGACGCCACTGCACTCCAGCCTGGGTGACAAAGCAAAACCCTGTCTCTAAAAATTAAAAAAATTTTTTAAATGAAACATTTCCATGAATAATCTCTTGAGCTCTTATTGCTCCAGCAGCAGTTAAATCCAAGACCCAAAGACCTCAGTCTTTCATACAAAAGAACTAATGAGAAGAATTTATTCAGACTTTAGGGATAAGCCAGTGTTAAGTACTGTACAGCACTCAAAGAAGTAGAGAACAAAGTCCTGATTGTGGCAGAGATAGCTAGTTATTCCCCTAATATTCACTTCTCCCCCACTATGTAACAGATTTTTAGCTGGGCATATAAATGCCTCAAAACACTTTTACAACTCAACCTTACAGGTAGGATATGAACAGTTGACTAAGTTTTGGCCAATAAGAAGTGTCTGGAAATGACACAGGCAACTTCCAGGTCAGGAAGTTTTTCCCCCTGCCTGTGGCTGGATGAGAAGTAGAAGTGAGTTATCCAGGGTCAGGCACATGAGGGCAACACCCTAAGAATACTGGAATAACAAGAGAGCCAGAGCCTGGGACTTCATTAAGTAGAACTACCACACTGGTTCACTTACGTGAAAGAAAAATACATGTATATCTTGCTTAAATTTGGAGACTCTCTCAGATACAGCCAAACCTAGTAATCAATAAAGTAGTCTCCCAGGACTGTATAATTAAGTTCATGATACCAGATATTTCAATTTCATCTATTTCACTATTAAAGTTAACTGAGCAGGCTGGGCACAGTGGCTCATGCCTATAATCCCAGCACTTTGGAAGGCCAAGGTGGGAGGACTGCTTGAATCCAGTTCAGGATGAGCCTGGGCAACAAAAAAAAGACCCCCTCTCTACAAAAAATTTTTTTAAAAACTTAGCTGGGTATGGTAGCACACGCCTGTAGTCCCAACCACCTCAGAGGCTAAGGCAGGAGGATTGCTTGAGCCCAAGAGTTTGAGGGTTCAGTGAACTATGATGATACCACAGCATTCTAGCCCAGGCGACAGTGTGCAATCCTGTCATAAATACATACATACATATGTAAAGTTAGTTTACTGAGCAATGTGAATATAAGGACACACAGCATGCACAAAATAAACAAGTATAAAATGAATGAATGGAGGGGCTACAACCCAAAGTTGTAGGGCAGGCGTCCTCAAACTATGGCCCAAGGGCCAGATGTGAGTGTTTTTGCCCATTTGTTTTTTTACTTCAAAATAAGATATGTGCAGTGTGCATAGGAATTTGTTCATAGTTTTTTTTTAACTATAGTCCGGCCCTCCAACAGTCTGAGGGACAGTGAACTGGCCCCCTGTTTAAAAAAGTTTGAGGACCCCTGATGCAGGGCAATAAGCATGGAAGATAAGGTTACATGGGCTACAGGCAAGATGAAATAATCCAATTACAAAAATGTATACAAATGTGCACAATGAATTGCACTTCAAGAGATGTTGAAGACCACTGAGGATAGTTGGAAAAAAAAAAGATAACGTCTTTACTCATCTCTTCCTCTTTTTTCCTGTAGCATAGTACCCAAGAACACAGGAAGAGTGCCAGGCTATGTTTAGTTGGAAGAGCTGGGGTGATCGTACATTTCTCTTCATACCAGTGGTACAAGAACAGTTATCAACATCCCTTGTGTTCACTGACAGTGTTTCTTTGGTTTGGGCCTATGTAAGGGAAAAAGTATTTTGAAATATACACATCACCAATGATTCAACTTAAACAGACACAGTTGCCCACTTACCACATTATCTCTTGCTGCCTAAAGACAATGGATAGTATTATCAATCTTCTAAGTAAAAACTTCATTTCCACTCATCCCTGCCCAGATGTCATCTGAAGGTACTTTGCTGATTTGTCCTCACATCTCAGACTTCCCAATCTTTTAGAATCTTTAATCAAAAACTTAAGGCAGGCTGGGCACAGCGGCTCACACCTGTAATCCTAGCACTCTGGGAGGCCGAGGCTGGTGGATTGCTTCAGGTCAGGAGTTTGAAACCAGCCTGAGCAAGAGCAAGACCCCGTCTCTACTATAAATAGAAAGAAATTAATTGGCCAACTAATATATATAGAAAAAATTAGCCGGGCATAGTGGCTCATGCCTGTAGTCCCAGCTATTCAGGAGGCTGAGGCAGCAGAATCGCTTGAGCCCAGGAGTTTGAGGTTGCTGTGAGCTAGGCTGATGCCACGGCACTCTAGCCTGGGCAACAGAGTGAGACTCTGCCTCAAAAAAAAAAAAAAATCTTAGCACTCTGGGAGGCTGAGGCGGGAGGATCAATGTCAGAGGTTCAAAACCAGGCTGAGCAAGAGAGAGACCCCATCTCTACTAAAAATAGAAAGAAATTAATTAGCCAGCTAAAAATATATAGAAAAAATTAGCTAGGCATGGTGGTATGTGCCTATAGCCCCAGCTACTCAGGAGGCTGAGGAAGAAGGATCACTTGAGCCCAGGAGTTTGAGGTTGCTGTGAGCTGCTGGGCTGACGCCACCTTCCAACCCTTCTTGCCTGTTAGGTTGTTCTTCCAAGTCACCATCCCCAAGTGTTGCTTTGATGATATCCACTCACACCTTTGGGCTGAACTCTTCTACTTCATTACAGTACACAAACATATTAATATCATGAAAGCAACTACACAAAAGGCTACCAAAAACATTCTATGGATTGTGACTCAAACCTAAAACTCTCCTTCATTTAAGTCAAAAGCCTTTCACCACCATTCTCCCCACTGCCTTATTTCCTTTAATTCCTTATTGTCATC